TTAATATTATGTGTAAACAATGTAATATCTAGGTAAACAATATAATATTCTAGGTAAATAATGTAACAATTAAAAAAAATCACACCCCTCAGTTATTCTGATCAACCGAGATAAAAGATATGCCAATTTTGAAAATAATAAAATTCATTGTTGCTAGAGTTTGAACCCATGCGCTAATAAAGTTATACCTCAGTGTTTTAAACACCGAAGTGATAAGTCTTTACTTTTTATGACAACCTTATTTACCTCGCTTCTTTTGTCGAGGTAAAATAAATTTTGCGTCTGAGGTTAGAAGCGTTATTTGTAATAGTGAGGTGAATAGCAATAATAACCTTTTTGGGATCGATGATAACCAAGAAAGACATAATTTAGTGATCGAGCTGATAGTTTATCAAGTCCAAGAGAGAGATTATGAACAAAACATATAGACCCAAAGATACAAGAAGGAATTGGGTGAAGGGGAGAACAGGGAAAAATTGAGTGAGGTATTTTGTATTTAAGGAAAGATGAGGTCATGCAGTTTATAAGGTAACATGTCGTTATCATATCACCCCCCCCCCCAAAAAAAAAAAATCAGAGTGGAACTTTACCATGGAGAAGTATAATTCAAGTGGTTTCTACGAGATGCCTATTTTGCATTCGGCTACCCCATTTTCTTGAGGTGTATAAAGGTAAGATATTTGAGGGAGTATACTATTGTTGGGCATAAAAGTTTGAAATTATTGGGATAAATATTCACGAGAATTATCACATCTTAAGGTATAAATAGACACACCAAACAAAGTTATTATTTCTTTAAAAAATTATTCAAAAATAGAAAATAACTCAGATCTATTTTTTCATTAAAAATAACCACGTGTAACATTAAAATCATCAATAAAGATGGCAAAATACCTAGACTCAAGAGTAGAGACAATATGCGAGGGACCCCAAACATTGGAGTGAACTAAAGCAAAAGGGGACGAAGTCCATTTATTAATTTGATTGGAAAATTGACTACGAGTGTGTTTCCTTTACTGATACGACTCACAATGTAAATTAAATATTTTAGATAAACTTAACACCAACTTCTGTAGTTTGAGAAAATCAGGATGACCTAACTGAGCATGTATAGTGAGTAGAGAATCTTTGGCTGAGCATGTCTTAAATGACACTGGCAGGTAATAAAGGTCTTAAGACTCATATCAAACACGAATCGTCTGAACCCAACTCTGATCCTGTAGGGTAACATTACTATTAGTGAATGTGATAATACAATAAAGAGAACGAGTTAAACGACTGACTGATAGTAAATTAGACGAAAACTTAGATACATAGGGAACAAAAGTAATAAAGAGAAGGTAGAACTTGAATGGTACCAATTCCTCCGGGTCAGGTTTGAAAACCATTTGCAGAAGTTATAGTAGGTAAGAAACCAGAGGTAGAGAAGGAATAGAAAATACTCTTATTATCGGTAACATGATTAGACACACCAGAATCAAGGACCTATGGTCCATGAGAAGATGATCGAGAGAGGAAAACAAATAAATTACTAGTGTGTGCAACTGAAGCAACAAAATCTGAGTTTTGATAATTCTAAGAATTCTGATACCACCTGAGGAAATTATTGTAGTTTGGCATAAAGTTTTGAGGAGTAGCCATGAGATTATTAAGATAGAAAATATCACATGAATCGGGTGAAAAGACTCTGTTTGAATTGGATAACAATTTTCTGTGAATTGAAAATAAAATTTGAGGCCGAATCTGAAATAAGGCCAGGAAGACGAGTGTGACAATGAACAAGTCAGTAGGATCGACCTCCAGGCGCTGTCACACGTGGTTTAGTTTGTAGCTTGTGAGGCTCATGCGCAGAGGTAGAGGCATCGCCTGTGGGTGCATGTGTAGGTTCCGACAGTGAAAAATTGGGGAATAGTAGCGACGACGACAACAATACGGTGGTGTCAGGAGAATTTTTAAAAATTGATGCAAAAATGAGTTACGACAATGGATGAAAGGTAAACCAGAGTTATGACACGATTTTCTAAAAAAATTATCATCGAAAGACAGTGGGTCAATCGGGTAAAGCACGGTAAATAATTGTCTCTCAGTAGGCTCTGAATACCATTTAAAATACGAGAGATTAAAATACATTTGAATAAATTGTGTGTTTCAATAGCGCTACATAAACTGTATTATATATAAAGAGATTTACATATAATTACATACTATAGTCGATGTGAGACTTTCTATATACAAATATTCTTAACATATACAAATATCAACAAACACATTTGTTTTATCATTCTATACAAAATCATTCTTTTAAAAAATGTCAAATACTTTTATAAAAATTCATTTTCAGAAACCTGCTCTTCCCTTTCTCTCTATACTAATGTTTTAAAAATCGGATTGGTCATCAAATCGATGAGGGTATTAGATCACTGATTCACTGGTCAAACCATTGAGTCACTGGTCGAACCACATGACTAAATCAGATTAAATTAAATATCTCAGTTGAATAAACTGATATCTATAGCAAAACTATATAATTATTAAACCGGTGAAACCAAATGTCTCGGTCTCTAAGAAGTATCACGACATCTACAAAATTTCAAAATGTCACGATTTTACAAGTCCATTCTTTAAACTCGAGTTCTAAAAATAGTTATCACACACATAAAATCGTACAAAATATAAATCTAAATAAATTTTGAACTGAATGCCAAAATAACTTGTCTAATAAATGTAATTTTAAGAAAAAGTTGTTCCAAATAAGTTTTGAACAAAGTCAATTTATATTTTAATTTTTTTATTTAAAAAATAGTGTTGTTTTGTCTAAGAAAAAAACAAACATTTAAATCGTCGATTTTCCAAAACTGTCTATTATCCAATTTTTACCAGTTTTAACCGGTTCAGATTCAATAATCAAATCAGACCAGACCGATTACTCCTCTAATTCTCAATTCAATCGATTTGAATAACTAATTCGATCCAATTTTTAAAACAAAGTTACAATCTCCAAGAAAGTCTTAGATTTTTGTGTCATGCACTAAGGACAAAATCATTTATCAAAAAGCCGATGGAAATAACAAGTAATAGAAGCACAAATAAGGTTTGGCCAACTAATAATTCAACAATAGTAATAGACGCCATCATTTTAGTTTAAAGAAATATATTAAAGGTCAACAACAAGACTCATAACTTTGTCGGCTACTTATTGTTGCAGTCCATATTTTAGTCCATTATGTTATTTACCTCTCAATCATAAATAAGTGAAGTAAAATTATAAAAAGAAAAATATTTATTAATAAAAAGTGAAAACAAGAAATACATGAATAAATCATAATCATTTTTTATTACCACTACTCACATAATTCCTATTAAAAAAAATTAAAAATCAATTTAAATTTCACCTATTAAATTGTGATATGTGTGCATTCTTGCGTTTATTTTTTAAAATATTCCATATTAAATAACATTACTTTTATAAAAACAATAAACAACACCAAAAAAAATATAAAAAATTGACAAAATAGAAAATTCATGAATGCAATTAATCTTAATAATTTTTGGGTAATATAATACAACTCTCTAGTCATTATTATGAGTAAATTAAACTTTTTTTTAATACATTTGATAATTAATCTACATAATTTATATACTATTTTTTTTTTAAAATTATAAATTACTTTGAATTTTGTTTTTGTCTCAAATTATAAGTCAGTTTATGATTTAAATACAACATTAATGATTTTTTTAAAATATAAATATACTCTTTACTATTCATTACTTTTCTTTCTTTCGATTTTCATAATTTTTCTTTCTTCTGTAATTAATAAAGAACACTAATGTAAATTTATACATATTTTTTATTTTTCGTATAAAATTAATTATTTTTCTTAAACAATGTAAAATGTCCAAAATGTATATAAAATTTAGTTTTTTTAAAATAATAACAAAAAAAATATACTTTCCTTTCTAAAAGCACACGAGATAATAATTATTGTAGGCAAAATAATCTTTTATTAGAATTATTACTGAAAGTAATAGTAATATTATTTTGATAAAAAATTAATTTAAATAAAAAATAAAATAATTATTTCATTTTTAAATGAGCATCATAATCACTTTGTGATTTTGAAAAGGTTATCAAAATCATACTTTAATATTTTTTTCGTTAATTAGATTACAATTGTATGGTGAGTTTGAAAGTCCGGAATCAATAATTTATTTAAAATATTAATCAAGCGTTACTTTTTATTTGTGAAAATTTTAAAATTTTTTTTTTGTCTATTTTGCATTTTGATTCTATTGATATTGTAACTATAAAAAAAAAGAGCATTTAATATATAAAAGGTACATTTTATATACGATAAAAGGATTTCTTTACAAATCCAATATCTCCAAAACTTTATACTTATGATAAAGATAAATTTCTTAATACAAATTAAATAAATATTTTATAAAACTTTATTTTTTATACAACTTTTAATATGTCTGATTTAATCAATTAATTAACTTATTTTAAGATAAATAGAAAAATTAATGAATTTTATATTCAAAATAAAAATAGAAATTCTTCTTATTTTATTTATTTACCAATAAAGTTAATTGGAGTTTGAAGTTAGGAATTTTATAGTATTAAAAAACAATTTCAAACTCTTAAAGTTTTTAAAATAATCTTTTATGAAATATTTTCTATATTTAACTTGTGTTTAGAAATAATAAGTTACTAATATTTTGATTTATCCGTTTATTTATTTCCTTTTGTTTCTTACCATCGGAATTTCGTCGTCTTGCTTGGTACTCACTCTCTGTAGCTATTTCACATTTTCCAACTCAATTTACATCTTAGGGTTTCGTTTTTTTCGTATGCTTCATTTCATATTTATTCGATTCGATTTTCGGAATTCAATTCAAATTAATGCTTATCTAGGTTTTGCAATTTTCGTAAACAATTTTTTTTTTTAATTTTGAAATTGCAGATCCGAATGAATCTAGTTTAGGAGGGAGCATTTGAAATGTCTGAGAATAATCACGTAGCAGAGCAAGATTCGGATTCGGATCCTCATTTGGGAACCCAATCAAATGGGGAAACGGAATCAACAATTGATCAGGTATAAATTCCCAATAACCTATATGTAATTGAAATGGGGATGGTAAAAAGTTTTGATTTTTAATTAATTAGTTAATTAATATGAGGGAGTTAAGCAGGTAACCCATGTTGATCACCAAGATGATGTTTTGGAAGAACCCGAAGATGGGAAATCCACAGATACTGCCAAAGATGACATGTTTGAAGATTGCCCTGACGAGCTAATTACATTCGATGGTAGGATTAAGGAAGAAGAAGCTGTAGCTACTGAAAATGAAGATGGAAAGGAAGAGGGAAGTCGAATTCTTGAATTTGACAATGGCGTAGCGGGGGAGCTGGAGCAGCTGCGTTTTAAGTTGGAGAATGCTGTTGCTGAGAAAGAAAGTGTCGTGGAGGAATACCAGGTGTGTTGTTTTTGTTTATGAATGACAAATTTTGGTCTGGTTAGTACAGATTCAGTTTTGTTGCTGAGAAAAAAAATGTTTTTTTAAAAAAATTTATTTTGGTGAATTTTTTATAGGAACTTTTATCTGCGAGGGACTTTGAGATTGAGAATCTAAATGCGAAGGTTTCTGAATTAGTGCTATCCAATGAGAGCTTGCAAGTTTCGTTACAAGCTCAGCTTGAAAAAGATGGTGATATTGATAATGTGGTGGATAGGATGATATCCTCTCTTGCAACTGTTGTTAATCGAGAGCAAGTATTGGATTATTCTAGAAGTGGGAAAATAGTTTATATCGAGGAAAGTACTGCACATTTGATTCAAAAGTATAATCAGTTTCTTTCTGAAATTTATCAACTTGGGCAGTCGTTTTCTGAGGTTGGATTGGGTTCTATAGCGAATGAATATGGGAACATACTTGTTGATGCTCGAGGTGGGTTGCTAGAGCTCAAGAGAAAGGAAGAAGAATTGGTTCAAAAACTTTCTTATTTAGAAGATGAAAATCATAAGCTGGTTGAAGAGCTTGACAAGGAAAAGGTGATAATAGGGAAATTGAATACTGAGCTTGGAAATGTAAAAGTAGAACTAGAGCAGGAAAAGGTTAAATGTGCTAATACCAAAGAGAAGCTTAGTATGGCTGTGACAAAAGGAAAGGCTTTGGTACAGCAGCGAGATTTACTAAAGTCATCTCTGGCCGATAAGTCCAGTGAGCTTGAGAAATGTTTAATTGAATTGCAGGAGAAATCAGCTTCACTAGAAGTTGCTGAACTTACTAAACAAGAGTTGGGCCGGAGTGAAAATATGGTTGCATCCCTGAATAATTCATTACAGCAAAATCATACAATTTTTGAGCAAGTAGAAGAAATCTTGTCTCATGCCAAACTTGATCAGCCTGAAATGCTTGATTTGCCAGAGACACTAAGATGGCTTGTGGATGACAGAAATAAACTCAAGGGTGCCTTCTTGGAACTACGCAAATTGAAGGATTCTCTATCTCTATTAGACCTACCAGAGTCTGTTTCATCATCTGATCTGGAATCACAAATGAAATGGCTTATAGATTCTTTTCATAAGGCCCACAATGATATTTATGTTCTACAGGAAGAAGTTTCTACAATCAAGGAAGCATCCATAAATCATATTGATCAGATGAGTATTTCACTTTTGGTGGACTCACAGGAAAAAGATTACCTTCAGGCTGAATTAGCAGATTTGAGGTTTGAATATGGAGAGCTTGTTGGCAAGAACCATCAGATTTCTTTGGAGAAGGATCAGATAGTGAAAATGTTAATTGATTTTTCCGGTCTAAACATGAATGATGAAGGAATTGATCAATTCTCTTCCACCACTTTGATGATTATTGACTTATGTTTTCAAAAATTGAAAGGACAGAGTGGTTCCCTCTCCAAAGCATCTCATATTGATTCTGCATTGTTTGAAAAGATTCAAAGTCTCCTGTATGTCAGGGATCAGAGCTTAATGCTGTACGAAGACATACTTGAAGAAGATTTTCTAATTAGATCTGATGTGAATAAGCTGTCAAATGAGTTAAAAGTGGTATCTGATGAACTTATAGCACTGAAAGAAGAAAGGAGTTCTCTTCTGAAAGATCTTGAACGATCAGAGAAAATTCAAAGTCTCCTGTATGTCAGGGATCAAAGCTTAACGCTGTATGAAGACATACTTGAAGAAGACTTGCTAGTTAGATCTGATGTGAATAAGTTGTCAGATGAGTTAAAAGTGGTATCTGAGGAAGTTATAGCACTGAAAGAAGAAAGGAATTCTCTGCTGAAAGATCTTGGACGATCAGAGGAAAAGACTGGCATGCTTAGGGACAAGTTGTCCATGGCAGTTAAGAAAGGAAAGGGATTAGTTCAAGATAGGGACAATCTAAAAGGTCTTATAAATGAAAAGAACTCAGAGATTGAGCAGTTGAAGGTTGATTTGCAGAAGCATGAATCTGCAGTTTCTGAATACAAGGATGAGATCAAGAGATTGTCCAATGATTTGGAAAGCATTCCTAAACTAGAGACTGATCTTCTGGAAATAAAAAAGGAAAGGAATCAGTTTGAACAGTTTTTGATGGAGAGCAATAACATGTTGCAGAGAGTGATGGAATGCATTGATGGTATCGTTCTTCCAGACGATTCAGTTTTTGGTGAACCTATAGATAAGGTGAAGTGGCTCGCTGGTTTTGTCAATGATTGCCAAGATGCTAAGGTGCATGTAGAGCAACAGTTGCAGTTAGTTAAGGAGGAAGCCGGTATACTTGAAGTTAAATTGGCAGAAGCCCAAGAAACTGTAAACTCCCTTGAGCAAAGATTATCTTCTTCAGAGGATACTGTTTCTCAACTTGCTGAAGAAAAGACAGAGTTAGAACGCGAGGGAGAAAAAGTTGTGGAAGAGTTACAGAATGTTAAAGAAAAAGTTGCTGAAGCTTGCAGTACTAATAAGCTTCTTGAAGACGCCTTATCACAGGCAGAAAAAGATATTTCTGTGCTTTCTGAAGAGAAAGAGCAGGCTCAAGTATCTAGAGTTGCTGCAGAGACAGAGTTAGAGAGATTTAGAGATGAAGCAGTCAGGAAGACAGGTGAACTAGCAGAAGCCAGCAGAACCATAAAGGATCTAGAAGTTGAACTATCTCAGGTTGAGAGTAAGGTCAATTTGTTGACTGAAAAGTATAATGCTGATCAAGTTGTCAAGACTGATCTGGAAAATGAATTGAAGAAGCTGCAAGATGAAGCAGCAAATAATGCGAGCAAAACAGTCGCTGCAGAGACAGAGTTAGAGACAGAATTAGGGAGAGTTAGAGATGAAGCAGTCAGGCAGACAGGAGAACTAGCAGAGGCCCGCAGAACCATAAAGGATCTAGAAGTTGAACTGTCTCAGGTTGAGAGTAAGTTCAATTTATTGACTGAAAAAAATAATGCTGATCAAGTTGTCAAGACTGACTTGGAAAATGAATTGAAGAAGCTGCAAGATGAAGCAGAAATTTATGCTAGCCATTCAGTTGGTTCCTCTGCAACTATAACATCACTGGAAGATGAATTGTTGAAGGCTCGAAATGGTATTTCTACCCTAGAAAATGCAAATGAAATCGCCAAACAAGAAATATCTTCGCTCAGTTCAAAGTTAAGTTCATACATGCTTGACTTATCAGGAAAGAATGGCCACTTAAGTATCAAATCCCTAGCGCTTCTTAATTCCTTTAATTATCTTCTGGCGCATATTAGAGACGATACTCTATTTCTCAAGATAAAACAATGCTTTGAGAGGAAATGTGAGACCTTGGAGAAAGTGGATCTCACTGTGAACAAAGTAAATAACTATCTTACCCTGGCTGCTAAAGATTCTGAAGGGCACCTTGAGATGGAGGTAACTTACTATCCTTTTAAGGCCGTCGATACTCTCTCTCTCTCTCTCTCTCTCTCTCTCTCTCTCTCTATATATATATATATATATATATATATATATATATATATATATATATATATATATATATATATATATATATATATATATATATATATATATATATATATATATATATATATATATATACTCTAAATATTTTGATTGTATATGTGATGCGGTTTATTCCAGGAAGATCCACCCGTAAGAAAATCATTTGCGGCCAACCTTGAAAATTTTGAAGTTGAAATGGACAAAGGAGAGACTATTACTATTGAATCAATAATCTCATCAATTGGAAAAATTGGAGAAGAATTATCGTTGAGAAGCAAACATATTGCAGATAAGTTTGATGAATTTTCGGATTCTGTTGATGAATTTCTTTCTCCTCTCCCTGGAAAACTACTGGAAACCGAGTCAAATATAATAGCTATTGTTGAGCACATGAAAATTATGAAAGAAGAGGCAAATAGTGTGGCAAATTTGAAAGAAGAAAAGGATAATATTATCGCCAATTTAGAGAATGATATCAGTTTATTGCTGTCGTCATGCATTGATTCTACCAATGAACTTCAGAATGGAGTTCACCAAAATCTTGGGCAACTTGGCTCCACTTTTGAGGTCGAGAAGTTCAACCATGAAGCTGATGAACAAGTAGAACATCACAGAGACAGTAAATATGCAGACGCATCAAGAAAGTTGATAAATGCTTCTGGAAAAGTTCAAACTTTGATTAGACAGTTCAAATATAAAAGTGAGCAAGTAGATACAACAGTTAGAGATTTGCAGGCCAAATTGAATGAAACGTCAGTTGCTTTTGAATTGGCTACAGAGGAGAAAGACTTCAATAAGAACAGAGTTTTGCAGTTGGAGTCTGATATTCAATCACTCGAAATTGCTTGCAGTGAGCTTAAGGATAAGGTAGAGGGTTATCACGTCCTAGAAGAAAAATTAAAGGAAAAAGAGGAAGAGATTTCATCAATGCACAGTGCTTTGATGGCAAAAGAAGAAGGTATGCAATGTCAAAATCTGCATGGACCTAACCATATTGAATTTATTTTAAACATGCATGTATTGATTACTTTGTTATGACTAGATTTTCCTTTTTTGCATATGCAGAAAGCTCCATCCTCTCAGCATCTCAGTTAAGAGATATCTTTGACAAGATAGATAGGATCGATATCCCGATTGTAGAATCTGAAGACGATTTGGAGCTACATACTTCAGACCCTGTGAAGAAGCTCTCTTATATTATTGATAGTGTTACTAGGTTGCATCATGAAATAAATTCTCTGTCTCATGATAAAAAAGAGATGCAAGCAATCCTTGACACCAAGGTTCTTGAAATTAATGATTTAAAGGAGGAAGTCAAACAACTCAATAGACACTGTGAAGACTCAAAAATGGTCAAAAGCGAACTTTTTGAACTAACCTCTGTCTTGGAAAAAATTATAGATATTTTGGGAGCCAACGACTGGGTTGTAGATAGAAAATCTAAAGATGTTAGAGAAGTATTGCCAGCATTGGAAAAGCATATCATTGCCATTCTTTTTGAATCTGAAAATTCAAAATCTAAGGTCCAGGAACTTGGTACTAAATTAGTTGGAAGTCAGAAGGTTATTGATGAATTAACAACCAAGGTTAAGTTACTTGAAGATTCAGTTCAAGATAGGAATTCTCAGCCAGAAATTGTCCAGGAAAGGAACATATATGAAGCACCCATATTACCTGCTAGCTCCGAGATAACTGAAGTTGAAGAGGTGTTTTATTTCAACAGTTTTCTTAAGCTTAAATTTCTTACATGTTACAATATCTGGGTCTACAGGACCATTTCTATAACCACCTTTGCATTAAGAAAAGAACTTATTTCATGTCGTTCTTTTTTTGCCACAGCATAGATGGTTCCAAATGATTATTAGGTGACAGAAACACAGCATAAAGATATGTCTGCCAGTGCTTTATTTTATTCTTGCACTCAAGTTGATGACTTCAGAATTTATTTTAAGGGTTTTCTTTATGCATATTGGAACTTTATTTGTTTCCTGGTTGATCATCTCTTATTTTATCTGTCAATAATTTATTAACGTGCTGCATTCTCAAAATTGAAATTCTTTTTCTCTAGCTGCCAGAAACTAATGTGTAAGTGGTTAAGGGGAGTGTATTTTTAAAGTGTTTTCTTATTTACACAGGGATCTCGTGGCAAGAAAACATTATCTCCTGTCCCATCGGCTGCTCACGTGCGAAGTATGCGAAAAGGATCTACTGACCATCTTGCACTTGATATTAGTATGGAGTCTGATCATTTAATCAACAGTACTGATACCAATGATGATAAAGGTGATTACTAGTTTCTCTTTACTGTAAACGGTTTGATTTTAAAACTCGAATACTTAATAATAGATCAATTTGCAGGTCATGTATTCAAGTCTCTGAACACTTCTGGATTCGTACCGAAACAAGGAAAGCTCATTGCAGATCGTATTGACGGAATATGGTAAGATGTTATTTTCAGCATATCATTTTTTCCTGTGGTAAAGTCGGAGCATTTGAAATTGCCCGTTGCAGGATTTTAATGTTGGATTTGATTTCATGCAGGGTATCTGGTAGCGGTGTTCTCATGAGTCGCCCGAGAGCAAGATTAGGACTCATCGGCTATCTGCTACTCATGCATATATGGCTACTGGGGACAGTATTGTAGAAAAACTGTGATCTATCCAATATAGAATGGCTGCATCTGCAAATTCCAATGTAGATATAGTATCAATGTCCATTTGCTTCTAAATGAAGCCTACCCTGTTCTCTATTAGTTCTCTGCAATCACATTTTAGGGATTCAGAGATTTTAGTTTTCATGTTTGGGCTCAGTTTCTTACATTGTATTAGCCCTATTTCAATATTAAGGGATGTGTTAGGTAGAAAATAGGTAGATGAAATTCTTTCACTTGTTAGTATAATAAAAATTTAGAAAGATTTTATAGTGACTAAATTGTTTTTCAAGCAATGAATAAAATATATAATATTAAGACCAGTTGAAGCATTTTGAACTATATTTATTTATTTCTGTTGTGTTTTGTTTTGTTTGTTGTTCTAATTATATGAACATTATACTAATATATCAATTTATTTACCATAAATAGTTAGCCAGTTTTTTTTAACCAAAAAGTGGTTATTGGAGGGATAATATTGAAAAACAAATTTAACAAAAATGGCAATAATAGTATATATTAATAATAATAACGTAAAGCCTTTGTAAAACAAAACAAAACAAAACCATTACAACGTAAAACTGAAAAAGCAAGTTACATGCGTTTTGGACAGCTAGTTTTCGCGGCACTTTGTTTCACATTTTGTTACAATTCATTTCATAACACCTCATTCCTTTAATCTCTTTTCTATTTAGTCTCCATTCATTTTCCTCATCATTCTATCTATCTTCTAAACAATTTCTGGTGTTCTTCAATATCATCATCATCACAAATTCATCAGCTTCAACCTCATGGCTTCGGTATCGTCTTGTGCCTCTCCATCTTTTCATTATCATCATGCAATGCACGTTGATTTTTTTATTATGTTATTTTCTTTTCTGCATTGTTTTGAAAAACTGATACAATGATGATGTTTTTTAATGTGCAGTATTCCGAACAAGATGGAAAGCCTCTACCAAAATTCGGAGACTGGGATGTAAATGATCCAGCCTCAGCTGAAGGTTTTACTGTCATATTCAACAAGGCTAGAGACGACAAGAAAATCGCATCTGCTTCTGGACGTTTTCCTTCGCAACGAAGATATGATTCTCGCGGTCGCAACAACAAGAATAATAAAAACACAAAGACCTCGTCAAAGGTACTCTATTGTTGATGATGATGATAAATATTGTGTTAGTTAATTTGTAGATGAATGATTTTATGGTTTTGTTTGCAGAAAAAGTGGTTTTGCTTTAGTGCTTAGAGAAAGATGGATTATAAGGATATGCATATATATTTTGTGATGATTAATTAATCTCATTCATATGAGATAATAGATGGATGAAGAAGAAACAAAGCTGAAGTCATTGATTGATGTAGTAGCTTCTAGCTGTTCATTTGATGCATCAAGCTGCTTAATTATAACATCCAAGATTTTATTGTAAATATATATGTAAAGCAAGAAAGCATGTCTTTATTTTTATATTTATAATATTGTTGATGATATTACGATATTGTTTCCATTTCAATTCTTTCCCACAACTTTTTCTAGTTGTGGGTTTTGGGTCTTCTCTGTAATTCTTTAAAATTTGAACAAAGAAGTATGGTATTCATCTTATGATAAATATGCTTGAGCTCATAGTTCCAATGGGTGTTATACAAGAAAACCACTAACAAACTTTTCACTTGAATTCGGATAATCCATTCTAAGGAGAGACACAATATTATTGAAATATGATCGGTCAACATTAAATTTGAAGACATCTAAAGACGAGAGATGTTACTTTATATTAGTTTCATGCTTTATGTCTTTAAGACAAGACAAAAGATGGAGAAAAAAAGAAATACTAATAAACCCGAAAAAATATCTCTAGAGATGAAAAAAAAAACGTCTCATAATTTAAAAAAAGTAAATTATTTTTTATCATGCCACATCATATTTGTCATTTATTAGAAAACAATTAAAATGAAAATTCTCGCATACATTCATTACAATGATGATTGATTATTGAATTTGTCAAAAAGTATATGTGTGTGTGTTTCTCCTGCAAGGATAGGAGGACTCAGGTCTTAGTAGATTTATAACATTGTAAGGTGGTTAGGACTTTTTCACGATGGCGAGAAATCCTGTATGACTATGTTTTATGGTGGTTCTAGGAGTCCTGTTCACGTGAGACGAGAGACTTTGTGGATAGACGATATGTTTAGGTATAAGCTTATGCAGAGTGTGATCAGTATGAGTTATAATCTAGTTAAGTGTTATGTTTTAAGGTGTAATCATTTGTCATTCCTCCCTTAAGGGAAGGAATATTTATAGAGACTTTTTGGGTCTAGGGTTTGAATAACCCCGAGTGACGACAACTGCTCCTTCCTGATCAAGAGAAGTTATTGACCACTTATCTTTCAGAAGATAGTGAAGGACTCCATCTTCTTTGACTAATGACATTACACGCCATCAATGCCCAGAACGAATCCCTAAGTCATCGTCTAGGCGATATAACTCTTGGGCGATGAAACCCTAGTTTAGGACCCTCACAAATATAACACTACATAGTCCCTCAAGCACGAGGGCTTTGTTAAGGACAAAGTGTTTTTAAGACCCCTTTTTGTTCGATGCACGCATATCACCTTACTAGTGAGTCCTTGGGCTAGTGGCATCCTTACTAAAGGGGTGAGTCCCTCAGTTGAAGGCAAATATTTATTAAAAGGTGAGTTCCTCAGCTTGAGAGAGTCCTTCAGTTGGAGGCGACTCTCCCTAATTGACTAGACTATAGAGGGATGCACCTTATTTCTTTAGTTTAGACTCTAGGACGTCAAAACGTCAATAACTACTGAAATGTTGAGTGCTTTAGTGAAAAAAGAGCATGAATGGCATTTAAGGCACTTCATGATGAAGTTTTTTGGGAAAATCAAATTGTCATCTGTTTCTCACACACGTCTTTCAGGTATAGAGACTTTCTCACTTCACGTGGAAGTTACCCCTTGGATGAATATATAACTTGTGCCATTGGGTTTCCCCTATATAATTTCGAAAACCCTTTTTATTCTTCTTTCTCATTTCTCTCTTTCCAGAAACACAACTAGGTGAAAACATCCCTTGTTCAAAGGAGGAGAAGACTAATATAGATACTTTTGGCGAGCCGTCTGCTCCCTATTTGTACACACCCAACTTCCTATTGTTCATGAGCTGAGGGTTTCAATCTTATTCGCTTCTTTTGAAACGGATTTTCTGACAGCCATCTGTTCACAGTGATTTCTGGTGAACAACCGCTAGTCTTCCAAACTATCGAATAAACTTAATGACTGTTATTCAATTTTTTGGTAACTTGCAGGATCGACTAGATTGATCCTATGGAACATAGTTGTTTGGTTAAGTCTAATTGTAAAACTGGTATTCATATTCAGGACTTCAAATTAGAATTGTTTCTAAGATATCCAATCCACTTCGATTATTATACTGAATGGTTCGAAGGATAACTTCTATATGGTATTAGGAATGTTCATGAAAAATTTAATAAAGACTTAAAATTGGGTAAATGGCAGGATTAAATGAGTGGATGCAAAAGTTACTAAATGTTTAGAGGGTTCGAACATAAGAAAAGTATTTAAATGCAGAAAAGAATAAATGACTTCGAATGTAAAGGCTTTAATGTAAAGGCAAGAAACGTAAAATGTTTGAAGCACAAATGAAACGGAAATGAAAGACAAAACTGAAAAATGTAAAGAGTTTTCATTGAACTGTAAATGTTGGTGTTATCATACGTACATCTGTCGAGCATTCGTTTCCTTATCCATGCGGTATTTTGAATGTTTATTGGATTTGTACAACAGATATGACACCCCAAATCCTAATACTAAGACCTCTATTTATACTACTTCGACCATAACGGTCTTGCTATCAGAATCTGCCACGTTTGAAGCATGCAGAGCATTACTTCCCTCTGGCCTCCACGCATCCTCGAACGTTCCAATGCTTATGGATTTTGAATTTCCAATATCCCGCTCACGTTTGAATTTCAAACGCCTTGGTACCTTCATTTCGAATTCGTTTCGAAAATAACCCTCACAGATATAGTCTCATTATTATTTCGATCAATGCTTTAGACTTACACTCCACAACTATCATTCAAAACCTTGAACTTTAATATTTCCATTCGAAACAAACATTCTCTTCCACTCTAAATCATCAAACTTGCTTTATTCAAACAAAACCCAATCATTTTATTTCGAATCATAATATCAAAATCTTCAGCCAACAAAATGCCCCTTTAAAATATGTATTTCGAACCCTTTGAGAAATATTTATTTTAAATAGATTCACAAGATTTTGATAGGTCTTTTTGAAGAATCATGACATTTACTGTGCATGACTTTACCCACGTCAATCAAGACGCTTTTTTGAGCACCTAACCGTCTTGGACCAGTTACCACAACATGGTGCGGTTTCAAAATAATGATTACTATGAATCACACTTATTACTAACACTAGCCCTTACGCCACCTCCCTCTGAATCCAATCAACGACTTCCACGTACTCCTAGTCCCTTTAGTGGGTGTTTACACTCACTCTATAAAACTTATCAGTTTAGTCTTTTCTTCTTTTTCTCCAAAATTCTGAAATCCCCCTCCTTTTCACTAAACCCTAAAAACTTCCAGCAATCTTAACAATGTCTTCATCAACATCATCACAATTGAAGAAATTATCAAAGAAGAAGAACAAGAAAATCAACACGGAAACCATCACGGAGAGCAAAGTGAGTATTTATCAGAATCAATCTGTACTCAATCCTCAAGTGATCTCTAAAGAGAAAGAAATGTTGTACGCTTCTCAGGTATTAATCCCTACCACTGTTGCTGGAAAAAGGTTTGCCCTAATGGGTCCTTTAACTGTTTTTGAAATTCTGAAAGATACTAGGAAAATTTTCCCTGTTTGCTATAAATTCAAACCCTTATTCAACAAGATGGATGCCCCTAAGGCAGGAACTGAAGACCTCAATGAATCATCTGATTCAAAAACCACTGAAACTCCAACCTTACCTCCAAAAGATCCTTTTATTTTAGATTACATTAAAAGTAATTTCAAACCATTTCGATCCTGCCCCACTTCAGATGTAGCATATCAAAACTGGTTCACTAAGGTGGAATTCAAAAAATCTCAACAATGGGAAGAATTAGGAATTTATAACCTAATCAAATTGTCGAAACCAGGCTTCACCTACAGTCACCCATTGTTATTTGCTTCATTGTACTTCTGGGACAACACTTATAACACTTTCCATCTTCCAGGCGGAATGATAACACCCACCTTCTTTGATATAGCTGCCATCACTGGTCTTTCACCAGTGGGGGAAACTTACATCCCTGACAACGAAGAACATTCCAGTATTATTGACTTCGATGTCAAACTAGCCAGCTTCTCAAAATTCATCAGCCATTATCATACTGAAGGGGATGATGTCTCAGATGTAGAACATATCGCTTTCCTCACCTTGTGGCTGTCACGATATGTTTTTTGCAGCAGATCCCTGCAAGTGGAAAGTAGGTTCATTCCCCTAGCCAGGGATTTCCATGAAAATAGGAAAGTCTGCCTGAGTGAACTGTTACTTGTCGATCTTTATGAGAGTTTAAGGTCAGCAGTTTCTAGTTTAAAATCCCATGCTCCAAAGAACATTCTTCTGGCTGGACCCTTTTGGTTGCTTCAATTATGGCTTAATGCCATGTTCGAATCTTCTTTATCAACCGCTGATACCATCATCGAACAAGACCCAGAAATAGCTGACAGGAGCATCGAAGGCACGAGGCTTCGAAAACTCACTCCAAATGATGACAAGGATGATTTCAAAGTCCAATTTTCTAAATACATCATGATCTTCTCCAAAAGACACAAGTTCGAAGAGTCCATGGCACCTTTTGCTCAAAGGACTTGTGGACCATCATGGTTCACAATGCCTCTCTCAAAAGCCGTCAAGAGCAAAGAGATGCAGGACATTTGGAAAGCGTTTCTTCTTCCTAGGCTAATTTCCTCAAGAATTACCCCAACAAAGAATCGGATTTTCCTTCTGGCTTATCAACCCAATTTCGTTTCTCGACAATTTGGCCTGTGCCAATTAATCCCCGAACCTTTGTTCCAAACACAAAGTGCCATAACCTCAAGCAAAACGTTCAAAGCAAGAGAGGCCAAATTGCAACAAGAGCAATACCAAGACTTTGCTCAGTTTGAGCTTTTACCTTTCGAGCCAACACACTTTACAGCAAAAGGATTTC